AAAAAGAATTTAAATTATTTTTTATTTTTTCCCCCTAAACCCTGCTGCTGATGGTTCAGGTTGGAGTTTATTCTGCTGACGACGGCCTCCTTTAATCACACTGTATATGTTCACATCATGTTTGATTAGCTTTACCGACTTCTTAACTTCTGTCTGGGAAACTTCACCTGCAATACTGTCCTTAACAAAGAAAACAATTATTTTAGAATAATGTGTTTTAATAATGAAGGGTTTTCTTTCTCTAATTTCTGCTTTCTTTTCTTTCCTCCTTCCTTCCACTCCTCCTCCACCTCTCGCCTCCTTTCTCTAAACTTCATCCATCTTTTCCTCTTTAATTCCTCTCCTTCCATCTTTCTCTTTCTCTCCATCGTTCCATTCCCCTCCCACTTTGCTGGAGTCGCTCTAAAAATAAAAGCCTCTCAGACGCTGATTGATTGGAGGCTCTCAGAACTCCTGCGGTGGGCGAGAGACCGAGAAGTGGAGAGAGAGAGAGAGAGAGAGCAGGAGAGTGAGAGAGAGGAAGGTAGAGAAGGAGGCGTAACGGAAGAAAGCGAAGCGATGGAGACGGAGAGAAGGAGCAGAGAGAAAAGTTGCAGTGACTGTAATTGGTTTTGTTCATGTTGTGTTTAATAACGGATGTAGAGAAGGAGGAAGAAAAAAAACAGGAGAGAGAGAGAGGAGAAGAACAAAAAAAGGGAGGAAAATCAGAAAGAAGAAAGAGAAAACAGGAAAATATAAATCTGAAGTATTATCTCCCTGCTGGTTTAAAACAGAGCAAATCATTTGTAGTACAACGTTTCTTCGGAGACTTGACTTCACAGAACAGTCACAGAACCGACCTATTTATTTATTGTGTGAGTAATGCTTTAGACCTTCAAGCTGAAGTTAAAACGAAGCTTTGTCTTTCACCGTCTCTCCATGTAAGGATTTAGACGAAAACATAATGATAAAATGAAATGTTCACGTAGTAGAAGGAGAACAGACGGAGAAATCAAAAAATGTTTATGAAATGTCAAAAAGCGGACTGTGAAGTGAAGTGAAGTCAGGACGTTTCCGTCTAGACACAGAGATGTGTCTTAAAGCCTGGATTTACTGAGAAGACACGGATGAAGGTCTGGAACTGAAGAGTGAAAAAAAAAGTCTTGACTTTCAGACCAAGAAAAGCTAAAGGAAGATGAAGATCATCAGGTCTGAGGAGACTCCACTGAAATGTCTTCGTCCGTAGAGATGATGACTAATGTTTGCAAAAAAAAGGGACGGAACACAAAGAAGACTGACCCTGCAGTGAAACACAGACGTTTGGAAACTCTGCGAGGGTCCGACACAACGATGACCTGACTCTACTGTGAACCTGAAGTAAAGAACTATGTCCTGAAACAGAATGGACTGAGAAACCTGGAGAGATTTTGATCTGACTAAAACAAAGCTGATCCATTAGAGCTCCTGATCTGTGGGTCAACACTTCAGCCTCGTCGTGTGATGATTCATTAAAATCACTTTTAACCAGAGCTTTTGTCTCCGACGTTTTCCCCGTTCTGTCATGACTTTCTCTGTAGAAAGTGTTTCTTAAAAACATCACAGCAATTAAAGAACCGGCAGAGGAGGAGGGACGGACAGATGGAGAGAGGGAGATTAAAGAGAGGACGGTTGGAAAAGTCAAAAGTGAGAGTGACACAGGAGAGACGAGGAGTGGGAGGAAAATTAAAGTGAAGACGACAAATGGACGACGCGTAGGAAAAAAAAAAAACCCACAGATGAGATGAGGTTAGAGAAGAAGAGGGAGAGAGTCAGTCCTCCTACGGCTGATTTATTCACTGGATGCTCTTTGATTCCGGCTCAGACAAAGTTCCAGGGAACACTTTATACCTTCTGACAAAGACAGATAGTTTCCTGTGAGCTGCAGCCACATTAGAATGTGGTTATATACAGTGTTTGTGTATTGTTGTCAGTGCAGTGAGCGCCCCCTAGTAATAGAAACAAACTGAGACACAGAGCCTCAATTTAGTAAAAACATTGCTGCCAAACTATTGAGAGCACAACAATGTAACCTGTTTTTAACCTTTATTTATGGACGAGAATTGTGTGTTTTTATTGTGGATAATGCAACAGTTTTTCACCCCTAATTCTTTGTTGTTAATTTTCACAGTTTTGAGTGTGATTTCAGTCTATTTTTGGATTTTATTTTTCTATTTTATTTTCATTTTTGGACAAAATTTGAGTTATTTCTAGGCTAATGTTTAGCTATTAATTGCTTCTTTCATTCACTTAACTTATACTTATCCTGTATTCTTGTCTAACATTTTGGTTTGTTAGAGGTAAATTTAATCTTAACTATTACTATTTTTAAATACACATATTTTATGCGAATGTTAAATGTTTGAGTGTGCTCTTGCTGTTTTGTCCATTCAGGCTGCTGTAGAAACATGTGTCACTCACCACCTGCAGCAAAGCCAGATACCCCGCCCCCACGTTGTCGAAGTTAACCTTGACTTTGCTCCAGTAGTAGAGTGAAGTGTCGTTATGTGCCAGGCACTCAGTCTTGTTGTTGATGTCACCAGCGTCGTAGACCTGACCCGTGCGGTTTATGCAGCGGCCAAACTTTCCTGCGAACAGGTTCACGCCCATGATGCTGAATATAAGCCAGAAGATGAGACAGACCAGCAGCACGTTCATAATGGAGGGGATGGCTCCAATCAAGGCATTTACCACCACCTGGACACGAGACCAAGAGGAAGGAGGTTAGAGGACGGATGCATGGACACGGAGAAAAACACAGCAGTGCATCCTGGTCATTTGGACTAAAATTAGATTTGAAATTTAATTCATCGCAGCAGACCAGGAATATTAAAGTTATGGATTCAATGTGAGACATCGACATGGCTAGCTAATATGTGTGTATTCTGCTTCATATACAGCGACCATTTACTGATTTTCTCTATGGACTTCTCAGTGACAGACTGACCATTTTGCAGACTCCAGTTTCCTGTTGGTAAAAGCTGTTCACGTAATTTTGTAGAATATTGTAGACGCAAGCTGACGTGGCTAACATCGAGGTGAGCGTTTTGTAAAACTGCTCACTTTTGGTACAACAAAGTCTGTAGAGAAAATCAGCATTTTTAGCCTACTGGGACACTAGCTGCTGGTCAACTGCTGCCTCGTGTGGTATTACTGTGTCACTGACATCAATCTAAACAAAGGTTTTCAAATTCCGATGTCACAAAAATAACGCAACTGAACTCAGTGAAGGCGGCAGCAGCAGATCAACAACCTTTGCAGTTTGTGCTCTGATATAAAACTGCTGATTTTCTCTGTGGACATTGACAGACTGAGTGGTAGGAACTTATTTTTTGTGGAAAAAAGTCTAAATACCAGTGAGGTAAAGCAGAGAACATATTCTGAAGATATAGTACTTTAGTTGTCATAGATTTCTTTTGAGTCAGACTTTTCTTAAGTTGATGAAATGTGAACTAAACTTTTGGTTTTATTTGTTTGTTTGTTGAGACTATTGTTTATTTTTGAATAAATCAGACATTTTTACAGATAAATGTTAGTTTCAGGGAAACAACGACATGACTGTGGTTACAAAATATTGGGTTTGAAATACAGTAAATTATGTATAATTCACACAGACAGTGAACGCAGCACGACTCAAACACAGCCAGCCTTGACTGTGTACCCACAGTGCACCTCTTCTACCCACAATCCCCTGCTGTGTGAGCAGTGTGGCTCAAAGCGCTTTTTTTGGTCCAGTTGGAGTTTTAGATGCTCCTTTATTTTATTAAGATAAAATTTAACCCATTGCAAGAGTTTTTGAGATATTACGGACATAAGCTAATGTCGGTGTTATTATCAGAGATGTGTGTAGCAGCAGGGGGCGCCGACAATACAGTGTTGGGCATTTGTGACACTGTCACTAACACTGATTAATGAAAAGGACAAACAGTTTCCTAAAAGAATAAACAAAAACAACGTAGCTACTTGATTTAGCAAGTAAACGGAGTTTCATCTGGAGAGAAAAAAAAAACACCTGAAATTAACCAATAAGAAAGAAGAAATACTGACAATCCTAAGAACTGAGACCACTGTAAAAAAAAAGATGGATTATAAATACACCTGGGCAGACTGACATTTACATGTAGCGCTAGGGCCAAATTAGCATGCTAATGCTATCCAGCTAATGTTTTCAGTAACATTAGCATGCCTGTTAGCCATCTGTCTTATTCCACTACTCCTGGGATAACTGTACAGCAGTTCCTCTTTTAATGTTAATAACAACCACTGCTTTACATTTTAATGAAACTGTGTCGTCAAAGTTTTTTTGGTAAGCTAATATTGAGCTTATTAAAGAGAGCCAAAAAATGAAAATTTCATATTCGGCAATGTTAGCATTTTCTACTTCTGTATTTACACGCCCTTTAGACTTGGGTGAATACCAGCGCCACCTGCCTGCCCGCCTGCCCAGGTGCATGTCTGTTAGCAGCAGTAATACTGACTCTTACCCTCATTCCATCAAACCTGGAGAGAGCTCTGAGCGGCCGCAACGCCCGTAGCGTCCGCAAGGATTTGATTGCTGCCAAGTCCGAATAACCAAGTGCGTTGGCTGTCAAACTGACCAATGAGACCTGAAGTAGAGGAAGAGAGAGAGAGGGAGAGAGAGAGAGAGAGAGAGAAGGAAGAAGAGGACCAAAGTCGGAAGGGAGAAGGAGGAGAAAAAAAAAAGAGAAAAAGAAGCGGGAGAGTTAACTTCCATCCTGTAAAAAATACAGACTGAGGAAATAAAGGAGGAAGAGGAGAAGGCGGAGTCTGACTCAGTGATGGGCGGGATTTGATTCATGAAGAGTCTGAACTGTAAATAGAAAAAAATTTGGTTATTTATCTGCTGATTCCTGAAAAGAAAAAAAAATAAAGTGAGTTCCGTTCTGCAGAACCCGTGCTGTGGAGATAAACAACGTTAGAGAGTAACCTGCGTTTTTGCTCTGCGTTAGTTAATACTGTTGTTTAGTCTGTCCCAGTTCTAGTGGTAGTGAATGTGAAGGTCGGTCTGTGAAAGTTCACTTCTACCTCAACAAGCCTAAGACTGTGCAGCGTTGTCACATGACTGCCAGTAGGGGGCGGGGGGGAACCACAGAAACAGGTTTTACCCGCTGGTCTTTTCCAGTGGGTTACCGTCGTCTGTAGACCGTCGTCTGTAGACCGCCCACTCTCCCATACCAAATGTCTACAGAGAAAACCAGTGATTTAACGTCACAGGACAAACAAAAGCATCGTCTACTGCCGTGTCAGCGGTTATTCCAAAGGTGACACTGTTGTGACTTTGGTGATTAAAGTCCTCCTTTCAGAGTCACGTCAGTGACACAACGTAACCACACGAGGCAGCAGTAGACCAACAGCTTCTTTGTTCCCCTGAGGTGAAATAATTGGTTTTCTCTATGGGTTTCGGTGTGGGGGAGATAGTGGTTTATAAAGTATCTTTTGTTTTTGTGTAAAGGCAGAACATATTCTGAACACACTGTACATTCACAGATGTAGTCTTAGGCAGGTGGGGGCAACAGTGAAGTCAGCACTGACTACAAACCTTCACCTAATCAACCACCACTCTTCAAAACAAAACAAACCCAAATCTATCACTTTACTCTATTTGAAATGAACTAAAAATAATTACGTTGAGGGAATAACTATTGGAAGGATTTTTATATTGTATATAAACAGCAGCAGCAGCGCTGAGACCGCGTCAGGGGACTGAGCCCCACGGGTTGCCGAGGCGGGTTCTCGGGTCAAAGGATCACACGGACCCCTGGTCATTGCCGCTTCTGGGCAAGCTGAGCCGGGTCTTACCCTGATACCAGCGAAGCGGGCCACAGCCCGGAGAGGCCGGAGCGCCCGGAACGTCCTCAGCACCCGCATGGTGGTGATCTGGTCCACGGAGACGTAGTGAGCCAGAAGACCCAAGACTGAAATCTATAGAACGTGGTCACACATTTACTGAGCGGGTCTCACACAAACATACACACACACACAGACACACGTCACACATGCCGTCAAAAATCTGTAGGAGCCACAGAAGAACATGAACGGTTGAAGATCTGTCAACATCTAGCAGTGAAATCTCTTCAACATGTCATTACTGAGTGAGTATATGGTTACCTCCATGTCTTCATTAAAACCAAAATGTATTTAGTTTCAGATTTGGTGCATGGTGATCCAACATGTCCGCCTCCTTAGCAATTGCCCACTCACTGAGTTTCACACAATTTAAAAACAGGCTCATTCAAATAATGCATCGTTTGTGAAATGAGGTTGATTTCCATATTTGTTTTTGTGCAATGTCTTTACAATGACAATAAATGATGAATTAAAAGTTTTGATATGAAAAAAAAAAGATCGGACGTTACTTACGTCAACAATAAGAAAGTCCAGCCAACACCAGTAGTTAGTGAAGTATTTTTTGAATCCGTAAGCAAGCCATTTCAGGATCATCTCCAGAATGAAGACATAGGTGAAGATCTTGTCAGCGAATTCCAACACCACCTTTATAACCCTCCTCTGGTCAATGTAGATGTCCTCGAAGGCCTGCAGGGGGCGTAAGTAGGTTCTCAGCGAGAGCTGAATAAAATACAGTTTTAAAAAAAGTGAAGAAATTGACGTTTCTGACCAGAGCTCCAGAGCTGAGCAGGATCATGAAGATTATGAAGGATTCGAACCAGCTGTGTTCTACAATCTGGTAACACGTTTTCCTCATCCTCCACCAAATCTGACCGAAGCCCACCGTTGTGTCAATGTCGCAACAGCGACACCTGGCCACGCATACTGTGGGTGAGAGAAACAGAGAATGAGAGATTTAAAAGGCTTGGATTGTGTTGTTTTTTTTTAATTCAGCAGATTCAAACTCCCACTCTCCCGTCACCTCCACACGTCTGGTTTCTCCAGCGCTAACAGCTACTTCTCAAACACAATCATGTCTGTGAAGACAAGCAGTGACCTGATGCTGACTCACTGCACCACCCAGAGGAAGGTTCCCCTGAGTGACTGGTCCACTGAGTGATGCTGAAGTGGCCTACAGCAAAGCATGATGGGAACTCAGCGTAGCTAACAGAGGGCGACAGTAACTGGCTGAAGAATAACGTCTCAGCCGGAAGATGAAGTCATTCGTCAGATTAAGATTTTTCATCGTTTTTGAGTAAATAAAATGTTCGCTACAAGAAGTCGATCTCTGAGCAAAAACTGAATAAAAATACCTGAAAATACTGTACGTTTCCAAACGTAAATCTCTGATAATTAAAATGTATAAATTATAAATATTACGATAATTAAATGTATTTTTAGTTATCATAAATAAGGTTTTTTATTGGTAGCATTGTCCACTTCTACTGCACAGAGGGGGGCGCTAATTCGTCAACAGGTCAACACAACTACTGTTCAGTAGTTTAAGTAAAAACCAGAAGGGCTTTCCTAACACACACACACACATTGACACACTGACAGATACACACTCAGGGAGATAATAAGTGAAGCAGCATCTGATCCGGTGTCAGATGACCCCAGGCCTTGTTGTGATTGGATTAGAGCAGCTCTGTTTGTCTCCATGGCAGTGTGGAGTGAAGCCGATCACAACCTCAATTACAGTCAATGTTGGTTTGTTTTTGTTTTGTTTTGTTTTTAAGAACTGCTCAGGTTTTGATTCCTTCCTTCATGGAACATTTTTTGGATTTAATGAATCTTGAAACAAGTAAACACTTGATCCTCAGATCCTGTGTTAAGTTGTTTGGTCTTTTGCTACAGACTTCAAACTCTTCAGTTTAGTTTAATATTAGATTTAAAAAATAAAAAAAACGGAACCATGTTTTCATCTGTTGCGGTGGAAACAGATCAGGATGAAACAGCTTTAGAAACGTTTCTGTTTCCAGCAGAACACCCGAGAACGGAGTGTCTCGTCTGAGGGACCACCTCCACTCAGGCAGAAACACACACACACACACACACTCACACTCTCTCTCTCACACACACAGATATTTCCTCTCAATCTCGTGTCATGCAGCATCACAACATTAACCAATGAGCTGGCATTTAGACGACTAATGAGGCAGCAGCTAATCTAATGACTGCTGTCAGCACATCAGTGTGTGTGTGTGTGTGTGTGTGTGTGTGTGTGTGTGATTGTGGGTTTTTATTTTTCAGTATATAATGGGATTTCTCTAATGTATGTCATTTAATGATGAACTGTATCTGTACCTGCAGTCTGTGTGTGTGTGTCTGTGTGTGTGTGTGTCTTCCTACTGAATCATATTATTGAAACTACAGGGTAACTAGCGTTACCACTGTTGACCAGCAGGGCCTGTTGACAAAAACCTCAGTCCTAAAAAAATGAACCTAAAAAGCCATAAAGTCGTACAAAAATAATTATTTCAGCAAAATTAAAATAGGAAATCATTTCTTTTTTTACCGTTCAAGTTTTTTCAAGTATTTTTTTTATGTGGTTGAATTCAAACCTCTTGAAGCTGCAGTTGATCATGTAAACCCAACGAATTGGTAATAACAGATTTAATTTCAGATTTTAATTTGTTCATCAGGTTTTCTAACACCTCGTTGGTCTGGCAGAAAATAAAATGGAGACGTTTGGATTTGAAGCACCTGAAGAACAAAGCAAACAAGACCACAAAAACAACAACATGGGATTTGTCCTGAACTTCCAGATGGCATCTTTGTCTCAGCACAAACTGCAACTGCCGACGCTGAACATTCACACGCATGTGCACACGCGCACACACAGCTGGTGTTAGGCATCTTTTTTTGGCCTATTTCTGCAGCGGCAGCAGCTGCACATTCGCAGGAATCCCTGCTCCACAAAAATGTTCACACAGAGCTGTGTCAGCGAACTGCTGGTTCTGGTCCAGATCTGATCCGAGCTGAAACCGCTGTCAAAGAACCGGGTCAGAAGGGGACGTGAGGACAGAGCAGCGTGATGGTCTTTCTCCATGTTAAATAAACTTGAATGACATCAGCCTGACTGTTTGGGAAGATCGCACATCAACAAGAGTGAGAAAGTGTTAGCTTTAAAACTGCTCGCTCCTCTTAACCAAAATCTGTGATTTTAGCTCACTGGGACACTGGCTTACTGCTGCCTCGTGTGGTCAGTTTGTATCACTGAGGTAAATCTGATCAAATGATTTCAAACGCCAAAGTCAGAGAATCATTTCTTTGAACTTCCTGTTGGACTTTAACCACTCGTGTGCCTTCACATAGGCTTTCCCAGACCATATGACCTCATCACCAGGATGTCTACGGTGGGTTTTTTTCCTGTGTGATCATTAACAGCAGTGTTTCCTGCTCACTGCTCCCTCTCCCTGTCAGGAAGACAAAGTACATGTGGTGAGTTGCAGCTAATTATTCTCAAGACAAGAGAAGAAGGTCGAGCTAACGAGGGAAGATGTTCAGTGCTAACGAGACTCCACGAGGATCTTCATCACCCAGATAAAGGTCAGGGTTTTTACCTGATACGGTAAAAAAGAAAACAACATGTTTGGTTTGCAGGATGTTACAGCTGTTAGAGGAGGATCATGGGAATTAAGGGCTGGTATTCAAAGGAGTGTAAGCAACCATTCATGTAGATATAGGAGGATGTTGTTTTTATTGCAAACCAAATGTAGATTTCTATCCCTGTGTTGTGCTGAAAAATGCTTAAAGGTCCAGGTACGAGCACTTTAAGTAAAAAATTTGCTGAAAAATGCTTAAAGTTCCAGGTAGGAGCACTTTAAGTAAAAACTAATGAATAAAAACCATTTAATGTGTAAACTGTTCATGTTAAAAATGAAAATGACCTTTATTTAATAAGAACTTTCTAACATAATAAACCAACTGGGTGTTATCAATTATTTAATAGTAATTAAAAATCCTGTTACAACATTTCTAAACTTCACATTTTTGGTAAATTACCAAAACTGTATACAGAATTTCTTGTCAACTTAAGTAACATGTATGTTATTTTGTTAATGTAATTGCATTTTGTGGTCATACATCAAAAGTAATAGTAATTATAACAACTATTTAACATAAATTTAGTGAAATTGAATAACAAAAAATAAATAAAATCTAAATATTTAATGTTGCATACTTAACTATTTTTAAAATAGTTTCAGCCAATAAGGAGTATTTGTATTACAATATAAAGTATAATATCTACACTCTCTATATATTATATAACATATATACTTTAATAAGATCAACAAAAGTATCTATGATTTATATATTTTAGACAGTATATCCATATACCTAAAGATCGTTTCATTATTAGCTCTCGGTCACTGTTCAATTCCGACTCTGGTTCGTTCACAATTATGTACGTAAGAAGTGTCGTCATCTGCATAGAGACGCACACGTGAGAATGTGACGCTAAAGTACGTCATACTCAGCTTACATTTAAAGAAACAGGATTTCACTGTCTATTGGCTGCTGTTAATGACCAAGCTGCCCCCCTCCGCTCGCTGCTGTGAATGCACTCCCTCTTTCCTGAGACAAATCTCTGAGGCACCAACAGGAAATAGGCTGAGTCAGGAAAGGAAACAGCTGTTTTGTTTTTTGTTTTGTTTTTTTTGCTGCTGTTTTCACCTGAGTTTGTCGCTGAAGGAACATTAATCTCAGGCTGAAAGGACTGGGGCAGGTGAGGTGGTGGAGAAGGAGGAGGAGGAGGAGGGGGTGCACCACCAGTACAGTTAGAAACAGAAGGAAAAACGCCTTCATGGGGGTCAGCAAAAAGAAAAAAAAAATTGAAGGGCTGGCATATTTACTTAGTGCACAAGCTGCAGATCATGAGGCATGTCAACACAGCAGGAAGTGGAATTTGAAGAAACAATCAGGGGGAAAACGTCTTGTTTTACCCAAAAACCACTCCTTGAGTTTCATCTGTTCATCAGTGCTTCATGATGCTAATATCTAATTAGCCAGTCACATGGCAGAAATGTTCTTAACCAGTTGTTGACATTGAAACCAAGCATTAGAACCAAGATCAAATCTTATCTAGAGTTCACAGACGTGTTCACCAACAAAAAACAACAACAACATCTGAAATATTTACTCGTTCCAACGTTCTCCCAGAGAAGAACAACCATGAAGACATGTTCAAACTTGAACAACAGTAAATCACACCTCATCTCACACACAATCACCCAGTCCTAACAGTTCAATCCAAGAAGTTTGGATTGCTTGATGCTACATTTAGATGAGCTTATGTGGCCAATGACAGTGATGTAAATATGACGCTGTCATGTCAATAAGGACCGCCCTCCCTGACGTTTGCTACAAAGAATTTAAATAAAAGTTCTGAAAACTCACCGTCCGGGAAACAGTTCTCAGGGTCCAGGGCTTCTTCTGGTACCTCCGAGAACTCGTCCTCTTCTTCTCCAGGTTTCCTGAGGTCCACAGTGCTGCCCTCTGATAGGCTGATGTCTTCTTTCTGTTGACAAAAACATACATTCATCATCAGCTAGCCTTATTTAACACTTGTGTTTTTTAAAATATTGTTTCTGAAATGTTTAACATGACGATGGTGTGATCGAACAGAATGACAAGACTCAATAAATTTAATTTTAAAAAACACTTTTTTTTTCAAATCAGTGGTTGGAGAACACAGAGGTCATCAAGCTGCTGGTTCTATGCTGCCTTTTGTGGTCAGTTTGTGTAATTGCGGAAAATCTGAACAGGCAACATCAAAATTAAAGACTGGAAATCCTTTTGTGGTCAGTTTGTGTAATTGCGAAAAATCTGAACAGGCAACGTCAAACTCTTATACTTCAAAATTAAATACTGAAAATAAGAAAACAAACAAACAAAAAACAACATAAACCCAAAGAACACAGTGACTTAAAAAGCTACAAATACAAATGTTACAGTCTGTAGAACAAAGGAAAATATGACAGAAAAGCTATCGTTAGGAGGACAGTGAATACACCTGCACCACGGCTGTTTTAAAGGTCCCCGTGTGCTGAGCATCTTGGGACTTGAACTTTTACGAAGGGACAAAAGAGACAGATGGAGGAGAGAGGAAGGGTTTGTTAAAGGAGAGGACGGAAATGTGAGGGGAATTTGGCAACTTTGGTTAAAGAAAGACACAGCAGGTGTGTGTGTGTGTGTGTGTGTGTGTGTGAATGTGGACAGGTGAGCTTATTGCTTGAGTCAACAGCTCATGAATGCACTCACATTCTGGAAACAGAGGCTGGCTGCTCCAACACACACAACCAAACACACACAACCAGAACCCCCCACACACACACACACACACACACACAGACAAGCGAAGCCAAACAGAAAAGAATACAGACCCAATCTCTCACAGACACCCACACGACTAAAGGTCTAAATGGCAAACACACACACACACACACAGAGCAGTCTTTGGGCTGACACTTGTCATCTATAATGAGTGGTTTAAATGTATTTCTATTCATAGTCTTTTGTGCTGCAGAGGGAAACTGAAGGCACTGAACCACACTGTATAACACACACACACACACACACACGTAATCTGATTACCCTGCAGATTACTGCAGTTAATCAGTGTTGCTCAGTATCACATCACTTTCATTTGTAATGTGAAACTTCTGATCAAATTTACTCTCCAACACCAGGGTCCAGAGGGAAACACCGAGGCTGTCGACCCAACGCTGCCCCCATCTGTCCATTCGTGACGTCGATGTTTGTGAAATATTTCATTTAGGTTTACATCAGTGACACTGACTGACCACACGAGGCAGCAGTAGACCAGGTGCCAGCTCCGATGTGTCGGCTTTACAAACTTCAGTTTGATTTTGAAACATGGTGAGAAGTGGAGGAGATAAGACTGAAAACCCAAAAGTCGACAACTGAGTGAGTCGTTTTCTGAGTT